GAACTGGTAGCGAAAATTTTGGAAACTTCCACACTCTTCCACCACTGGAAATATTCTATCCTGCCTTTTTTAATATCCTGTAGGATATCTTTTTTAAAAAAAAAAATCTGGGAAGAAGGGAGACTTCCCACAGCTTCCTTGTGACAACAAGAAAGCTCTGATTTAGAAGAGGAGAAGATCTTGCTTTTCTCTTCTTTTCTCAGCTTTTATAGCCTTTATTTAAACCCGTAATAGGCTCAATTTCCACCATCGTCTGTATGTTGGTGTTGGTAAATATGTCAGACAGATAGTATGCCAGGCTCTGAATCAATTTGGGTCTATTCGTATGGATTCAAGGCAACAGTTCAATTTCATTAATCAAATGAATTGGATGAGTTCGCTTCGTCAAATGGATCAAATAAATTTGAACTCCTTCGTATATTGTCTCACGGCCCAAACAGGTTCACCCCGAAATCTAATTCTGATATCTCCCCTCAAATAATCCTGCTGTCCAAATTGGACTGGATTGATTATTCAGATGAATTTATTCATTCGAATTGGAGCATATCAATTTTGCAGCTCTTTTCTTTTTTTAAATGGTTGAACAGAACTGAACCCTGCAAAGAGTGAGAATCAGTTCTAATCAGACCTATGCTTTGTATTGTTACTATTTTTTACCCAAAGTATACACAGGACTCTTGTTAAAAAGGAAAGTAACAATGTAGAGAGAAATTTGTAGTAAATTAAAATGATAACAAAATGTAACAAACCACTATTGATTTAAACCCCTGTTGAATAACCTCTGGCAATTTGCAAGTGAATCACATAGCAAACGCTTAATTCTTATCAGAAATTTTGGAATGAAGCTTAGTTAGTTAGTTAGTTAGTTAAACAAAAATTACAAATTGGAACAAACAAAAAGGAAAAAGTTAGAGAGAGAGAGAGAGATGAGAGATGAGATGAGATAGATGATAGATGATAGATGATAGATGATAGATGATAGATGATAGATGATAGATGATAGATGATAGATGATAGATGATGATAGATAGATAGATAGATAGATAGATAGATAGATAGATAGATAGATAGATAGATAGATAGATAGGATAAAGGTAAAGGTTCC